GGAAGAAGGGGGAGGATGGTATTCGTAACGTGGACTCCCCCTCATCTCTTCGGGCTACCTGCGAGGGGTGGCTGGCGGGCTCAATGGCTTATTCTCACGACGTGGTTTGATATGTTGCGACGACAATCCTAACTGCGGTCCTATTATCATCATCGTTCGGTCTTATTGGTTGGTTGAATGGTTGTCAATCCCAGGCGGCCGAGTTGCTTGAGAAGCCGATGAAGCGAGGAGGTGAGGTTTGGAGAGAGGGGGGGTATATTTAGAGTTGTCAAGGGTAAGTTGTTTTTCCTCTTCTTTTGGCCTTGGTTCTTGGAGAGTGTTTGTCTGTCTTGATATCTGTCTGATTTTGCAAGGGGTACTGTTGTACTTGTAGCTCTTATTTCTTCTTCTGGTTATGGAATTCTTGATTTTGTATTGCTTGCACGATCATTCCAAGTCGATTCATCCGATGATGATGATCCAATAGTGGTGCCATTGGTTTATCTTTTTCACGTTGCAATCCTTGTTATTCATATGATAATTTTTTTTTTTAACATCTTCTTACCGTTGTTCTGATTCACATCTTCCTAATCTACGGTCTGAGCGTTGTTCCAACTCTGTGTTCGGGAAATCAGTGTCGAAAGTCCAGATGGACATCAGAATTGTTTCTCTCTTGCATTTTCTCCTATTTGGATTTTTCAAGACATCCAACCCTTAGTTGATCTGGCGATTTCTTCTTCCCAATCTTACTTGTAGCTCGATGGATTTTCTATATTTGATCTGAGCGATTTTCTTACTGTGATTACTAAGTGATCTCATCTCAAAATTTCACGCCTTAAAAAGATAATACAGATCTGATTTTCGATGAAAAGATTTACGACTGTGGTGTGCCTTTTCCGATTGCCTAGGGGGGGAACTAGAATGGGTGGATGGAATGACTGAAAGGGGACTTTCAACAAACGGGAGATGTCGGTTAAGTGAGTAGGTCGGGAGGACGATGCTGGACGACATGGACTGGTGCTGGAGCTTTGCTCTATGACCCAGGGGGAGCTTGAGGTCCATAGAGTTATGCCGAGGGTGGAAGGCATAACCAGATCGTCCAAAGTAGTGGGCACCGGGGCGTGGACCCTGTAACCTGTTTAGGGGTTTGCCGCTAAAGGAATTGTCGAGGGAGGAAGGCACTTCTTGTCCGTCAGAACTAGGTTGGTCGGTACTGGGGTGGGTTGTGGTGCCCTGTTACCCTAGCAGAGGGGGGTATGAGACCAGGTGAGTTCTGGTACGAGGACCGAAAGTCGGGACTGGCGGTTCGCTTGTTGAGAGGGGATTTTAGGATAGTTGGTATTAATTTCTAGTTTTGACCCCCCGTCTTTCTGGATTGTACCTTGTTTGGCCGTTAAGGGGGACTTGAGAACGTTTAGGATTTTAGGGCTTCTATCATCTTTTCCCAGGCTGCCTTGAAGTTGCTATACTCAGCGATCTGCGGCTGTTCGATGCCAGAACGACGCTGGCCGGTGTTGGGGTGTTGCCCTGTAACCTGTTGACGCAGGAGCATGAGGCCTAGTAGAGAGATCTGGGGATGTTTTGGGGTGGGCATCTCACGGGACAACCAAGGTTTGCTGCTGGGATGACGCTGGCCGGAGCTGGGGCGAGTTGTGTTGCCCTGTAACCCAGCAGGAAGTGGGGGCGTGAGGCCTGGAAGAGCTCGGCAGGGAGTAAGACAACTTTGAGGAACTTGGGAAAGGATTTGGTAAGGAGGTCGAGATTTTTGGATTTTCTCTTAGGGCCCCGACGGTCTATCCTAAAAAAGAAACGAGGTGAGTGGGAGAAGAAGACGGTGGGATATCATGCGTCCTACTAGTGACGGGGCTAGTTGGTAGGATTGGAATAGGGTATAGCAGCAGTAGAGATGGTGGCTCTGCTGCAGTAAGTCTTGCCGGAGTGAGGAACAGAGGATTGATGGGGGGGGGGGGGTCGAGTTGGAGTTTGAGTCCTGTTGATTCTTGAAGTTTGTAGTCATCTCCTAAAGTAGCTCCAACTTTTTGAGCTAAAACAGAACGAGGGGGAGTGGGGAAGGAGATGGTGGGATATTACGTCCTACTAGTGAGGGGGCTAGCTGGTAGGATGGGAATAGGGCATAGCAACAGCGGAGATGGTGGCTCTGCTGCAGTAAGTCTTGCCGGAGTAAGGTAGAGTGGATGGATGGGGAGGATTTCTGAGCAGTTTTCTGAATTCTGTTTACATTCTGAAGTTTGTCGTAGTCATTTTCTAAGTAGCTTCGTTTTTTCTGAGCCAAAGCCGGGTAATGGCCCAGGTATCTCAATCTTCAAAATCATATGTAATCCACATGCTCCACCGCTTGTGCGGGCCCCCGTCAATTCCTTTGAGTTTCAGCCTTGCGACCGTACTCCCCAGGCGGAGTGTTTAATGCGTTAGCTAGGTCCCTCATCGAATCGCCCCCAAAAACCACCGGGCGTAGACCAAGGACCAACACTCATCGTTTACGGCATGGACTACCAGGGTCATTTTGAATTTAAATAAAAAATGGACTATGGGACGCTGGGCCCGGTTCCCAGCACGTGCTGGTCCCCACGAATAGATTGGAGCCTTGTTCCCAAAAAAAAAAAACAATCGAACAGAGAGGGCTTGCCCTACCCTGGTGCAGATTCTGCTCCAGCGCATTCCCATCCAGGAAAAAAACAGAAACAATATAACACATCTTTCTACAATGCCCTGGAGCAGTCTAGCTCTGGCGCTGGTGGGACAGGGTCTGGGACCAGCTCGGAACAGGAGCACCTTGGCCATGGGACTGGAAAGCCCTGCTGTTCGAGTTATGGCCTGCCGAACAGCCTGACGACTTCACTCTCAATATGTTCAAACTGGGACGCAGGGCAATACTATGGGCGCTGTGGAGACGCCGCTGCACCCACGAGATGGAAGGAGTAAGGTTGGAAGGGGCAGAATGTACAGAAAGCATACAGGAACAAATTCACACGAACATAACAACACAGTTGGAAGAAGTCAAAGCACAAATTCGCCACATACATACACAAAGTGAAATAAAACACAGGATACAAGAATTCAGCAAAAGCTGGCTTGGGGGGGAAACAGGGGGGAGGGTAGGAAAGGTGGAATGGAATGGGGAAGAAAGGGGACAAGGGAGGATGAAGGGCGACAAGGGGACAACTAGAGACTACCGACTCATCTTCTACGACTGGACCAAGCTAGATGGCTCAATCCCAATGCGACCATGTGACGAATTCCCGGACTTCTCCACCCCCCCCCCCTTTAACAGCCTAGTAGGAATAGAATGGTATGGGGAAGAGAGATGGAAAGAAAGGGACAAGGAATAGAGGACAGGCACCCACCCTGGGGGGCTAATCTGGGACAGGAAGACTGACGTACACGTGGGGAAGGCCAAAGCAGATACAAAACGGGAGGAAGGATTTAGGGTTTAAGGGACAGAAGAATGCTCAGACTGTATGTAAGACAGAATGGAAGGGAGACAGCAGATGGTAGCTCGACTGCAAGTGAACACAGATAAATTCAGGCGGCCCCAAAATGGGCTGAAGAGGCAGGCCTAGCCTACCAACACATACATCAACACCCTATGTAGATCATTGTGCTGTTACCGCCAGCATTGATTTCCCCTGGTTTCTCGGGGATTGACTGTGCGGGTAAACCAGGGGAAATCAATGCTGGCGGTAACAGCACAATGATCTACATAATAAGCTTGCTCTGATTGTAAAAGGGACGCTGGACCCGTTTTCCAGCAGGTGCAGCTCCCCACCAATAGACAGAGTAGTCGGTGGCTACAACTAGCGGGGGCTGCTCATATCACCTCTTTCAGTAGACAGGCAGGGCTTTGTTAAAAAAAAAAAAAGAAAAAAAAAAGAAGGCTGCTGTGTAGGTCCGCCGGTCAAGTCATACTCTGTAGCTGAGCCCTGCAGGTGGCTATCATTACAACCAAATCAGCTCAAACAAATAATTGAGCATAGGAGGATACTTTGATGACATCACAGACAATACTAGCAATGCCAGCAACATCAGCAAACATATGATTCACTACTAAAGTTATGCTTTTTGACATGTACAGGGATGCTGGACCCGATTTCCAGCAGGTGCTGCTCCCCACCAATAGATGGAGCCTTCCATACCGGTCCTGCTTAAAGGGGATGCTTGCATCACCTCGTTAAGCAGGTCCCCTGGTCTGAGGTAGGATAGTAGGGACGGGGGTGCGCTTGGAGTATGAACGTGCCGATGGGTAGGGTTGGTGGCCTATCCTGTCAGGATAATCATTGGCTGCCGCTGCCAGCAATCACCGTGGGTCTGGTCCTTGGCCTTGACAACAACAACAACAGCAACAACAAAAAGCAGGTCCCCCGGTGCATGAAGTTCACCAAAAACAAAGTGGCATTCAGGAGGTCGTGGGTTCAATCCCAACTGACCACCCGTGTCACTCTTGGTGCCAACCAACTGAGATAGTTGGCTTGCTCCCCCCGTTCGGTATTGGTAGGGTCTTTGGCCATCACCACTGTGTGTGTGTGTGTGTGTGTGTGTGTGTGTGTGTGTGAGAGCTCTGTGTGGTTGGAGAGTGCTGGCCATAGACACTCCTGTTACTCGATGGGGGCGCAGGAAGCAGATGGGAGGCGCAGCTACTGGCAAAACGATCGGTCTTTGTGTTAGCTGGCCCCCACCACCGGCAGCCCCACGCTACTCCCTGACCACCGCCGATTAGGGAGGGGGCAACATGCATCCCCTGTACAGGCTTAGGAGTAGTGGTAGGTAGGTAGCAAAAGGTGAAGAACATAGCTTAGTTAAAACAAAAAAAAACAAAAAAAAAAAAGAAAGAAAAAAGAAAGAAAGAAAGAAAGAAAGAAAGGAAAGAAAAGAAAAAAAAATGGAGGAGAGAACATCAAATCAGACAACTCCTTGAGAACATTGGATGCCAGCCCCAAAGGAAAAAGGCGGGGAGAATGGCTGTCTACGATGGATTCAGAGCCGAAATTGGAGGGCTTTGTTACCGGGGTTCATGGTGACAAAAATGTTGCATCCTGGATTCAACTTCAGCTCCGTTCCCTCAAACACGAACATTGAAATGCCTGAGCCCACCGCTCGCTGTATTGTGAGGATCTGCTGGGCCACGACGCTCAGCACCTGCACAAACCAATCCACCACCCCCACACACACATACATCATCATCACACATAAACACAATCATATTGTCTGTTCCTTTTCTTTTCTGTTTTTTGTGTTTCTTATGTGGGGTGATGGACCATGGATCAGATACTAAACTTGATACTACGCTTGATCTTAGGCAAAAGGCCATGAACATATACTACACTTGATCTTATGCAAAAGGATGAGAAGGGTATTTATCTGTGTCCTTGGTCCTCAACTGTTTTTTTTTCTGTTGTACACTTTGTGCGTGCTCTGGCCTTTTCCCGTGTGTTCTCTGAGTGTCAAAGTGGAGCATACATTGGACAAGGGCCCCTCACTGCGACTTTGGGATGCCGTAAACATGATAAAGGCCATCGATAACGACCATTTCGTCAAAATGGACATTTTTTATTTTTTGAACGAAATTGAAACTGAATTTTTTGGCCGAAAACTCGAAAAAATTTGCTGTTCCTGAGGGTCCAGCGTTTTACAAACGCTGGACCCCCTGGCTGTACATGGACCTCGCTTGAGACCAGGTACCTCCAAGCAGGACAGCCAGGGGGTCCAGCGTTTGACCCTCAGGAACAGCAAATTTTGACGAGTTTTCGGCCAAAAAACTCAGTTTCAATTTCGTTCAAAAAATAAAAGATGTCCATTTTGACGAAATGGCAGTTCGATGAGGTTTATCAGCGGCAGCCCGGCCCCGAAAGTTGCAGCGCGCCTGCGGCCGATGTATGGGCCAAGTACTGGTAACTGGTGGTTTAAAGTGTGCCAAACAGTCAGTGCACGCCTGAAGAGATACAGCTGGCAGTCACAAACTCTCATGGTTCCCTCATAATGACATATTGGTTCCTATTCATGTTCTTATGGGACGCTGGACCTGGTTTCCAGCAGGTGCTTCTCCCCACCAATAGGAGTGGCCGCCCATTGGTCTACTAGAGGGGGTTGCTCTTATCACACCTTCTAGTAGGCTAGTTTCGGTCTTCTGTTAAAAGAAGAAGAAGAAGAAGAAGAAGTGCCTGCAACACTATTAGAGGGGCTGCTGTGTTTGAGATGACTGTGTGTCTCTGCTCGGCTGCTGTGTTTGAGATGACTGTGTGTCTCTGCTCCCGTTTTTTAGGGAGGGCAAGTATATTGATGTCACTTTTGAGTATCGAATGCCAAAAACAACACGCACCAGCCAAAAAACAGGCGCCAAGTTTGAAAAAGCAATGGAAGTACCAACGGCTGTGGTGTCAAAGGGGGAAAAAAAAGAAAAAAAATCCCAACGGATTATTTTCTACCCAAATTGCCGTTTCAAACTCTTGCCGTGATATCGTTGCGGGAGCGTGTTTCTTTTGCCTTTGTCAACTCAAAAACCGCAGCGTCTGCCATTGTTTCTTTTTATTATTATGATTTCCTTTTAATCTCAGCAGTTCCTTTTATTGAGAAGTATGTGAAACACAGCAGATGATTTGCACAACTTGACAGCGATGAAGGGGATGAAAGGAGAACCCATATTTTCAAATTAATTTACCTCCAGCTCGATGCGGTTAAACTCATCAAAGCAAGACCAGGCACCACAGCAAGCGAGACCCTTGAAAAATTTTCCTGTTGCGAGGTGATCCAGACCCTCTGAGCAGTTGAAGACGATGATGAGTACGGCCAACGCCTGTAATGCCATTAAAAAGTAATAGTAAAAAAATATAAAATGGGAATGGCCGCCAAGGCAAATCAAACCCTTGTTAGCATTTCCTCGTCAACAGAACTAGACAAAAAAGAACAATGCAGCTGTCAAAAGCAACTCTCTTAAAATCAGAGGGGTGGACTGTAATGCCAGGGTCCCGGTGCCCCCTGGGCCTCTAGCTGCGGCAGTCCTCCCCTGGTCTACCCCCCTGGCCCTGCTCAGTAGGAGATAGACTCGTATGCTCTTTTTTTGCTTTTTTTTTTTCCAAGAACTCCATTTGCGGGAAAACCTAAAAATGAGGTGATAAGAGCAGCCCCGTTAAGTGGGTCCCGACGTTGAAGGCTCCATCTATTGGTGGGGAGCTACACCTGCTGGAAATCAGGTCCAGCGTCCCTGTACAATAACATGTGTCAGCTGGAAATCGGGTCCAGCATCCCTTAGACAATGTCAATAGTGTGAGAGGGCGGTCTTTAATATCTAGTTTATATGTGCTGTGTGAAGCTGATGACCCTTGCCCCTGTATCCGCCGTGTCCCCCTATGGAGAAGGAGGCATTGATTACTTCCCAGAACAGGGAAGGATTGACCGCCTGCCCTCCTAACCACAAATCCGACAGAGCGTATTTCCCACACGCCCCCCAGAAAGCAAAACATGATTCAATGCACGCTACCATAAATGTCCAACATCTAACCTGGGGAACAATCAACAGGTCATGGTGATTGGGGTTTGAGGGCCGGCCAACCCCAATCCATCAAAGGGCCATTGTCTACCCCACCCCCTCCCGACACGAGATGAAGAGGAGTGGGTCAATCGGGAGAAACTCCACACAAAATGAGGGAGGGAGAGGTCAATCTCCTACCCTCAGTCAACCTCAGACCCCGGATTCTCTCCCGCAGAAAGTGAATCGTCAATGGACTTCTCATCTTACAGATCATTCCCCAAGCGCCGGATGCTGCCGCTGTTGTTGCAGATGCGGGAAGCTTTACCGAAGATACTTCGTTGCCGTTTTCATCAGCACTGCTGATGATGTGGTTAATGTTGATGTTGCCCGATGGTTGCCAGGTGGCCCCTCAGCCACAGCTGCCACTGCAATCTGAGCAGGGACAGCTGTCATTGTGGATGATGACGTGGCCCTTGATGATATGTGGACCGTACCGTGAGATGTCGCCGTGATCTGCACAGCCGGTGTTGGACATGTTATTGTTATTGTTGTTGATGTATTTGTCACTTTTATTGTCGGTGGTATTGTTGTTGATGGTGTTGTTGTTGTCTTTGCTGCTGTTGTTGTTGTTGTTGTTGTTGTTGTTGTTGTTGTTGTTGTTGTTGNATTGTTGTTATCGTTGTTGTTGTCATTGATGTTGTTGTTGTTGTTGTTGTTGTTGTTGTTGTTGTTGTTGTTGTTGCTGTTGTTGTTGTTGTTGTAGCCATTGTTGTTGTTGCTGCTGTTGTTGCTGTCTTCGCCGCTGTCGCTGCTGTCGATGACGTCAGTGCTGCTGGTAGCGGAAGATCACCGGCTGTCGCCACGATCTGACCTTGCGGAGGTTGGAGATGATGTGGTTCTTCCTGCCCCCTTCTCCTGTAACACGACCATTTCGTCAAAATGGACATTTTTTATTTTTTGAACGAAATTGAAACTGAATTTTTTGGCCGAAAACTGAAAAAAAATTGCTGTTCCTGAGGGTCCAGCGTTTTACTGGACCCCCTGGCTGTACATGGACCTAGCTTGAGACCAGGAACCTCCAGGCAGGACTGCTTGGAGGTACCTGGTCTCAAGCTAGGTCCATGTACAGCCAGGGGGTCCAGCGTTTGTAAAACGCTGGATTCTCAGGAACAGCAAATTTTGCCGAGTTTTCGGCCAAAAAACTCAGTTTCAATTTCGTTCAAAAAATAAAAGATGTCCATTTTGACGAAATGGCAGTTCTGTCACCACCACTGCCACTGATGCAACAGTCGTCGGTTAGCGCTCGTCCCTCCCTGAAGAGTCTGTAGCATCTCTTCATGAGCCCTTGCGACTGCTCCCAGTCCGGATGGCGCTCGTCCCTCCCTGAAGATTCCGTAGCACCACTGCCACTGATACAAAGACGGAATAGTGAACATTGACGCAGAAATCGGCTGAACAAGGAATTCCTCACACACTGCCTCATAACTCCCCTTAAACAATGTTAACCGCTTGCAAATCCACTTGATTTTTTCATTTGTAGATTTGTAACTGGTGTCATGGTAAAAAACCCAGTTAGTGGCATGATTCTAATACACTTCATCCCTCTCAACCAATTTCTGTGACGGATAGGATTTTATCATTGAGTTTTTCCCACCTAAATCTATCACCCTATTCTCAGAGGAAATGATAAATTTGGAAAGAAATAAAGTTTTTGATGAAGTTCCTTCTTCACTCACGCGATATTGCTGGATCAGGCTTTCGCCCATTGTCCAAGATTCCCCACTGCTGCCTCCCGTAGGAGTCTGGGCCGTGTCTCAGTCCCAGTGTGGCTGATCATCCGAAAAGACAGCTAAGCATCATCAGCTTGGTCAGCCTTTACCTAATCAACTACCTAATACTACGCGGGCTCATCAAACAGCGCTAAAACCTTTGACTATTACGCTAAATTGACTATCTAGACTGTTTGGGATTTTTCCCAAACTGTTTGGTAGATTCCCAAGATTCCACAGGGTATATGCAATGGCAGCGGCAGTCCTCCTTGCCTTCTGGCCTCGAGCGATTAAGTTGAAAACGGCCCTTTGACGCGTTGTGCCCAAGAAGAAACACCCGGAGCCAGAGAACTACTAAGACAATTTGCTGGGATCACACTTCCTCCTCTCCCTCCTCCTTTTTCCCATGAACCTCTTCCACCTCCCACCTTCTTGCCAACCTCCCCTCTCTCCATTCACTTCAGAACTCCCAACCCTTGGGGGATAAGTAATTTGCTTCTGTCCCTGAGTACGAACGCCGCCCGGCCGGGCTAGGCCTGGGTGGGCCGCCTGGGCAAACCGGGCGGGCAAAAAAACAGCCCAGAAATTTTTTACTTTTTTTTTTTGGCGCATTCCGACCTGTCTCTTATACACATCTAGATGTGTATAAGAGACAGGAGCTACACCTGCTGGAAATCAGGTCCAGCGTC